AACGCAAATTATCATGTCTTTGACGTGTTAAAAAAAAGCATAAAATCACGTATCATAGCCTTCAATCTCGAGATGTTTGTATTTTACAAGTTTAGAAAGATTAATAGAAATTTTTCTCTAGCGAGCGAACAACTTTTTGTATAAATCCTTTTTTTTTCTTTTTTTTGCATAAAATAAATTGAAAAAAAAAGGAAGAGAGAAAAATAAATAAGTTTGATGCATATAGATATGGTGGCCACGGTGAATATAGGCGAAGTTGGGTCGTATATCAGCGGAAAGGAAAAGTTTCTGTTATTGGAGGAAAATTTTTTTCGCCGGGCGCAATTCATTTGCTGGGCCGAAAACTGTCGTACTTTCGTAACATTGAAAAATCGCGCGCGCACGTTGGAATATATTGAAATATTTTTAAGCTCGAGCTCGCAGCCCGGCAAATGTAGCCACCTATCGATAATCGATATATTTTATTAATACGACCAATTGTTTCGCCTTAATAAGATAGGGAATCTAAATTGGAAAAGACGGGACAGATATCGTTTTAGAATATTTTAAAATTGATTTCGATAATATGGAGAATGAAATTCGAATTCTTTATATATTTTACCACGTTCAACTATTTACCGTATGATTTATTATTTGTCACATCTTTGGATACACATATTATATTTTAAGCCTTAACTTCTCTTAAAACTCCAAAAATTATCAAAATTTATTTTTACACGATTACTAATTACAATTTTTTGATTGTAAAAAATCCAACTGAGTAATAAGCGAATCAATTTTAAAATTTATTTCGCGAGGATAAATTTCGAATATTTTAAATCTAATCGGTATTGCCTTACATATTGTGAAAAATCTTTCTACATCCCTACGATTCTTTCTCGAATTTTGTTCAACCTCTCTTAAAACTCCAAATTATCAAGATTTTTGCACGATTACTAATTACAATTTTTTGATTGTAAAAAATCCAACTGAATAATAAGCGAATCAATTTTAAAATTTCTTTCGCGAGGATAAATTTCGACGGATCGTTGAAAAATCGTGATCAGAATATTTTAAGCCTAATCGGTATTGCCTTAAATATTGTAAAAAATCTTTCTACATTCCTACGATTTTTTCTCGAATTTTGTTCAACCTCTCTTAAAACTCCAAAAATTTCAAAATTTATTTTTGCACGATTACTAATTACAATTTTTTGATTGTAAAAAATCCAACTGAGTAATAAGCGAATCAATTTTAAAATTTCTTTCTCGAGGATAAATTTCGACGGATCGTTGAACAATCGTGATCAGAATATTTTAAGCCTAATCGGTATTGCCTTAAATATTGTAAAAAATCTTTCTACATTCCTGCGATTTTTTCTCGAATTTTGTTCAACCTCTCTTAAAACTCCAAAAATTTCAAAATTTATTTTTGCACGATTACTAATTACAATTTTTTGATTGTAAAAAATCCAACTGAGTAATAAGCGAATCAATTTTAAAATTTCTTTCGCGAAAATAAATTTAATAAATTTCGACGGATCGTTGAAAAATCGTGATCGGAATATTTTAAGCCTAATCGTAATATTGCCTTAAATATTGTGAAAAATCTTTCTACATTCCTACGATTCTTTCTCAAATTTACTCAACCTCTCTGAAAACTCCAAATTATCAAGATTTTTGCACGATTACTAATTACGATTTTTTGATCGTAAAAGAATCCAATTGAATGATAAAAGTAATAAGCAAGAATTGATATTAAAATTTCTTCACGATCCGGAGATTCGATACGATGCGGAGGTTCAACGCGGATAAATTTCGGCGGATCGATTGAAAAATCGAGATGGTCAGAATCGAAAGCGTGATCAGGATTGACTTGTCCAACGGGCTGTTGCGCCCGTTGCCGCGCACAATCGATAACAATCATTTCCGCGTTACGTTAACGAAATACTATTGTCCATGACGCGTTAATGGAATTATAGATTCTCGCGTACGCCTGCCCCGTTGTTGCGGTATCATGGGAACGATGATGGAATTATGTGGGTTAACACAATCCACGTTCGAGGCCAGGAAGAAATTTACAAGCCTTCACGCACGTGCGCGCATAAACGTTGGATATATGATCGCGGGAGTCTCTATGGTGGCCACAATATTCCCCCATGGTAATTCGATAATGTATTATGGATACGTGAAATTCGACGAGAATCTCGCGTAACCGGAAAATAGAAAGTGTTCGAGCTCGAGGCGACACATCGCGCGAGTGAAAGATCGGTTCACGCTTCGCTTACGCTTCTCTCCCTTCTTTGTTTCGATTCTTCCGTTTCGATTCCATTGACGGCAATCTATGGAAATGGAATTTTTTTTTTCTATCTTTCGATAAACGAAGATCTCTTGTCTTATAACTTTTTGATGAAGTGTAATCTGGGAATAGGGAATAGGAATATTTATGTGTTTCTCGAATCAAATTGGATCAAGAAAAAATTATTCAAAAATTTAATTTGTAATATGTTGAAAGTTTAAGGGATAAAATGGAAGGAATATTTATATAGCAAGGGAGAAAAGATGGTGACGAAAGAATTCTTTCAAAGAATTTGTTCCGGGTTAATGTTTTTTATTTCATTTCCTCAATCTTATCCCAGCAAGATAAGACAGGACAATGGGATGATATTACTCCGACTTGTTTATCAACTTTGATGAATCTACGGAGTAAAAATATATACAAAGAACCTTTTGAATCATTTTATCAACCAACAGAATATTTATCCTTGTAACAATATAATTTACAAGACCTCTTTCCTTATCTTTCCGCTCGATATAATATAAAACTCTTTCTCTCCTCCTTTCTCCATTCCCAATTTATCTTAATATTCCACGTGTTTCCCTCCTCACAAATATATATATTCGTTGATTCCTTTCCTCCACGACGTAAAGAATAAAGGAAGAAAATAAAAATCGAAGCGTTGACTCGATTATAAGGCGAGTTAACTCCGTACCAATGGATTGCATCCATTAACGGCGTCTAAACTTAGTTACAAAGGATGTCATTCCACGATCGTTCCTCCTCCTTTTAATAATACCGGGGTTGCGGCGGCCGAAAGAAAGAAGGAAAGAAAAGAAAGAAGAAGGGAAGACAAGAGAAAGAGAGAGAAAAAATTATTTGAAAACTCGGCAAGCGGAGAGTCGCAAACTCGATGCATTACACGCAGACCATAATTAAATGTCGTGCAACTCATCACTGATGGACACGCCTAATTTCATTCGCTTCCCATAACTTCATTAATAATTTACATCCCTTTCAGCTCCGCTGTCCTTTCCCCTCCCTCGGTAATTGTAGTTCAAAAGATTTTTCAGCATCGTTCGATGAACGGAAACCATCGAGGGGGAGGAGAAAAGAAAAAAAGAAAAAAGGAAACAGCGTGTTCCCTCCCCCTCCTTGACTTTAACCGGCAACAAATCTACTCTTCTCCTACCCCTGCGTGTCATATCCCTCCTTCTCCACTGAGCTTCGATCGATAAAGAAGAAGTAAAGGGTAAAGATAGCGAAAAAGAAGAAGAGGAAGAGCGGCGTGTTATCGATGTCTCGATAACACGGTTCGTTGATGCAGTGGCCGATAGATAGGTTGGAAGGTGGGCAGAGTGAAAAAGGTCAAAGGCATCGATCATAGCTTTCGCCCGATTTATCCCAAAAGATTGGCCGTCGCAAGACTTTTTCGTTTCTTCTTTCTTTTTTTTTTTCTCTCTCTCTC